AATTCATTAAGTTATGGGAGCAAAAGTACCTAGTAAAATTAATGGCTAGAAACTAGTCTTTAATAAAAGAGGTCAGTAGGAGGTTTGCAGTGGTTTTCTATCACAAGCCAGAGAGACTTAGCTGCTACTAAGACACTGACAATCAAGTGGGGCTTTGGAACCACAGGTACAAACTGCTTTCTACATGGGATTCTGCTGAGCAGAGGATAGGGAAAAAATTTTGGCTCATGCTAGGAACATGGCATATAGACATATAGATATCACAAGGCTGACTTAGAGCCAGAGAGATGTTAGGTGTCTACGTATTTAGGTTGACATATGAAATTGCCTTATGTTGTAGGTCAAAAGTGGTTGAATTTTGACAATTCCATATGGTTCAACCTAGTATAATAGAACTTAAAAGGCCCAGCACTAAATATTGTTCATTTAAAACTGCAATCAAATGCCAATTACTTTTCTGCTCTAGAACAAGTATATGGGAGGGTAGACAGAGATTGGAATGTATATGCCATTTTGAGCAATGCACTCAGCATTGACAACAATGATTGCTAGGGATAACTTGCACTAATTGTAGGGTCAATTAGTACTGGTATTTTATAAAGAGATACTAGGTGAAAAATTTGCTTTCTCTCCTAAGTGATGAACTTTAAGGAAATTACCTCGTAGCAGCTAGTTGATGTAATCTCTGTCTTGTGATGGAGGCTAACAAAAGATACTTGCTGAAACAAGAAACAGAAACTCCTGATGCTATCATTTCCCATCGGTGAGCCAATGTAATTTTTTTTATTTACTATTAAGGTCATTTCTTACCATCCCAATTAATATACAACAGGTAAGACCTTCCATGATCTGAACAGCATTTTTCTCTTCTGGTACGTATCTCTCCTAGAAATGTACCTTCTAGGCCTATTCAACAACCCTACTGCTATTTATCTTACTGTATGTAAGATTCAAATATGACTTACTTAAAACCCTTCCAAGTCACTTCCATCTCAAACCTGATGAATTAACCATTTCTTTTTTAACCCACCCTTCTCCCTACAGGGCATGCAGAACTTGCTCAACATCCTTTCCAGTATACTATTATTATAATTCCCATGAACAGAGGCCATGCATTACACATCTTTGTAGTCTCAATACCTAATATATTGTCTGGAAATGTATTTTCCAGATAATACATTTATTATGTATTTCTGTAGGGGACTCAAATATTTATTTGAGTCTTTGAGAAGGGACTCAAAGTTTGTTAAAAGCTAGGGACTCAAGTATTTGTTAAAATTATGTTAATGAAAAAAATCCTGTAAAATAATTTAAGAAGGTTTATTCTGAGCCAATATGAGTGACCATGGCCTGGGAGAATCCTCAAATCCAACCTGAATCCTGAATAAGTGGTTCTGAGGCAGTTGGGTTATAATTTGGTTTCAAGTATTTTGGGGGGGGGCAGGAATTGCAGGCAAATTACTTACTCAGTTCTTTGTCTTTCTATTTTCTTTCCTGCTGACTTTTTTCTTTCAATGGTGAGATGAACTCATTGGTTATGGCATTACTAATTCATTTCTACTTTAGAGATACCTTTTTTATATACTTCAGCCAGTTCTAATTAAAATGTACACAACATTAAAAACTCCCTTGAAACTGGAGGAAAAAAGGGAGAAAAGTTTGTTGTTTTGTTTTTTAAATCAAGGCAGGCATGGTGGCTCACTGTAATCCTGGTGCTTTGGGAAATCAAAGTGAGAGAATTGCTTGAAGTCGAGAGTTTGAGACCATCCTGG